CCTGTGCTTTCCTGATCCGAACAGAGACGGGGAGAGAGAGCTGCCCCACAGTTGCTTGTTTTCTCCCCTTTTTGACTCTTTTGTGGCTATTTTTGTACACTTACGCCTCCTGGGCAAGTGATGGCAAAGCTGTGAGGCAACTGGACTATATGGTGTCAGATACAGACCAGCCTGGATTAAACACATGAATCACAAAACCAATCACATTTGGATTGCATTTGCAAGATGGGACAGATTATGTAAAGAGAAAAACAAACAATGCCATGCTGAGCTTTTTTAGAGCCTTGACCTCATGTGTGCGTGAATTAGGCTGTTTGTGTACACATGTGTGTATTGCATGTAGGACTGTGAAGTTGTCCGGCAGAGGCTCAGTCAGTAGGGGCTTGGACTGTGAGCCATAGGGTCGCCGGTTCAAGTCCCCGAACAGACCTAAATATGGAGTGTGGACTGCTACTTGGAGAGGTCCCTGTTCACCTCCTGGGCCCTGCCGTGGTGCCCTTGAGCACGGCACCGGACACCCCCCTCCCCCCCCAACTCCCATTGCTCCCCGGGCAATACAATAGCTGCCCACTGCTCCTAGTACTAGACTCCTGGTACTAGGATGGGTTAAATGCAGAGGCCACATTTCCCTGTGTGTGCTGTGTGCTCTGCATGTGAGACCATTAAAGAGGGGTTTCATCCCTCCGATTCAATTCTATATTTTAAGTATGCCTTTTTCTGCCAGTACAGACTCAGGAGGATCCAGACTGTGGCAAGGTAGTGTGATTCTTTCAACACGGCCACAGAATAACAATGAGGGAGGAAGACACAGGGAACACCACGTAGGGAGTGGGCGTAACAAGCCTCAGAGCTGCAAGTCATGGGCCTAACCATCAAAAACATGCAAGCACCAACACACATTGAACACATTGAATTAACTGAGATCTAGTCATTGGAAACACACGTTGCTATAACCATGTTTTGCCTTAAAGGTGGGGTAGGTAATTCACTTCAGAAACACTTTTTGTTATATTCCATGGAATGCTCTTAACATCCCGATAGCATGAAGTGAATTACCTACCCCACCTTTAAGGCAAAACATGGTTATAGCAACNTGCCAGGCTGCTAATAGGAATTAGAAAGGCTCAGTTCTAATGTACCAGAAATTAAACATCACGTGCAAGAAGTCGTCACTCAGGAGCTGCCTCACCTCACACACAACAACTGAAAGGAAACATACTCCTGCGCGATTACACGATCAAATAAAGGTATGTAACTTATTTTTGCTTGTCTTTTGGAGAAATAACCATTTCGTTTTGGATAGAAGAGGTGATTATGGAGAGAAAGCTCTCAAGGGAAGGTTCTAGTAGCTTTGAGCTAACCTTACTACAGGGAAAAAGAGCTGTTGAGGTAAATGTATGTGTAACAGGTATCATTGAGGTGTCTTTGGTGAGTTGTCTTATTGCATAAACCTGCAAAGAAAATTGTTTAGATGGATATTATTCTTTTTTGTACTGTTAGAAACTGCCTTTGTGTCTTTACCTAATGCCCTAACTGTGTATTCAAATTTAATGAACACAGTGCAGTGTGTGTTATCTGGTTACCAGACTCAGGTTACATTAGCCAGGCTGCTCAGCACATGCATTTCACACAAACTGATAATGTCATATTTCAATTAATTGGTAGGAGAACATACTGCTGTAGTGTAAGTTCAGGTTTACTATTCCTATACTTCATTTCAGAAGGAAATATATTGTCCTTCTTGAACAACATTTATCTTAGTGTTAGCCACTAGATACATAAAAAAAAAAATGAAGAGGCATTAATAAAGATTCACTACAATTCCACCTTTTTGGCTTGTGAGACCTTACATGCTATTATGTCAATAATATAATGTCACATAAAATAATACATCAATAACAGGCAGCAACAGTTCTTTCTCTTTTGATATGTTCAACACATTTAGCGGACAATATTCCCTCATGTTGACTTTTTCAGAATTTGTAATGCCTCCTTATTTGGGATCTGAATAGTTATATAGCGTGTGTGTGTGTGTGTGTGTGTGTGTGTGTGTGTGTGTGTGTGTGTGTGTGTGTGTGTATATATATAAACTGCTGGGTTTGCACATGCCTCAGAGTGTTTGTCCCCAGGCCGCCTTTGTTAGATGTTGTGTGTTTACACCTGTGGGTGTGTGTGTGTGTGTGTGTGTGTGTGTGTGTGTGTGTGTGTGTGTGTGTGTGTGTGTGTGTGTGTGTGTGTGTGTGTGTGTGTGTGTGTGTGTGTGTGTGTGTGTGTGTGTGTGTGTGTGTGTGTGTGTGTGTGTGTGTGTGTGTGTGTGTGTGTGTGTGTGTGTGTGTGTGTGTGTGTGTGCCAGTCTGTCTGTATGGGTGAGTGTGTTTGCTTTGCATGACTAGATGCTTCACTCACTGTGTTTATGTGAATGTGAGAGAGAGAGAGAGAGAGAGAGAGAGAGAGAGAGAGAGAGAGAGAGAGAATGCATCATGTACGGGCTGCTTCCGCCTCACAGCGTAGAGACAATCTGGCCACGCTTCAGCGATCAGTGGGAAGAAGGGGAGGAGCACTACACCATCATTTATCACTGGAGACAGAGAGCAAGATTCACCTCGGCCTACACATAGACTAGGGTGAGGAGGAGGAGGAGGAGGAGGAGGAGGAGGAAGAGGAAGATTGAAAGGACGAGGGAGACATATACATAAGAAAGACAAATATCTTTATATAGGAAAGGGAAGTATTATTCTAAATATGCAGATAAAGAAAGGAGAATTGGAGAATATTGGCTGGGAAGAACATAAGGATAAAAGGAAACAGTAAAGATGAAGATTGAACAATATGACCACAATACTTACTAAAGTCAACAACATGTGACCATTTCCGCTCATCTTCAGTATTATATTATGATAATTGCTCTTGGTAAATTAAAATGATAACTGTAAATATGAAGATAATGTTTAGCTTTCCTGGTGCATTATCTTCCTGAACACAACCCATATAAAAGTCAAGTAAAGCTTTTATTTGTAAGAAATTGAGAACTGATCAAGCATGTAACCCTGCCGAAGACAAAGCAAGGCCAAAGTTTGCTTGGTTTAGCTTCGCATGAACAAATCAAAACTTGGGAGAGCTTCAGGAGAAGTTTTTGCTAACTTTGAAGAGATTTAGGCTAGCTGTTTCCCCCTGCTTGTAGCCTTTGTGCTAAGCTAAGCTAACCATCTGCTAGTCGAACTCCTAGAAAACATGCAACAATGTAATTGTTGTGCATTCCGTCATTAATTGAAATTGTGCTATTTTGTTTTTTATATATTTTAAATGGCTCTAATCGACCCACAACCCACATTTGCAAGGACCTAATCATGGTATGTCATATCCACTTGCATCACATCTGACATTGTGTTTAAAGATGATTTGTTGTGACACATAATCCTTAATGCTTTTATTAAGAAGCTTTTCCATGTAGGAAGACATAAAGGATAGTAACACACACATATTGGCCTTTGATCGGTTCATTTTAGGACAGACCCCCCCCCTCCCCCTGTCCAGGTACTGAGGGCTCTGAGATGGTGTATAGAGGACAAATCTGCCTCAGAGCTCCGCAGACAACACAGCAAATGAGCACTCGTTGTCATAATGCAACACATCAGCTTGATGTACAGCGGAGGAGACGTATTTTAATATCCTACGTGTTGGATCAGGCGACTGTGCATATTCTCAATACAGTGGAGCTAAATATACTATAGGTCTGTTCTGCGTCCATGTTCAGTGTATAGGTTGATGTCATGGAATTTCCCTTTATCCTTTTGTTTGAGCGTGCTGATGCATTCTGCAGCCTCTGTATTGTCTTTTCATCATGAGCTTTTAATATTGCATCGATTTGATCACATGCTGTGTTTGCTATGATAACACTAGCATTCTTCACAAGATGAGACCAGATTAAGAATTCATTATGATGAATTTGCCTACAACCTGATGTTCCCACATGCTTCTGCCAGCCTTCACATTTGAGAATATAAAAGATCGAGATATAAATGAGACTTACAGCTGCCTCCTAGAGAAAATGGAACAAAGCAGATGAGATATTATTCATGTTATGAGTCATCTGAAGACCTTCGCAGATGTTATATCTGTGTGTTTGAATATTTTATGGCAGCAATTTCCCCTAAAATGTGATGGTATTTTGAAGTTAATTGCTTTAAATGTTTTGTTGATCTGTGGACTAAATGGCTAGTATTGGATAAAGATGTTACTTATTTTACATAACCCGGGAAATAGATTATTCATCCTGGGATACTACACTATGAGAGACTTTGTATTTTGAAATCTGGGGTGTGTGTTCATACAGTATGAACTTCCACAAGCCTTTCACTGGAGCCCCAGATATTTGACCTAAAAACGACTACCCTCTTCTTTTAGTCGCTCTACTTTAAAACCACAATATAGGTCTTCAGAAAAGCATACATAATCTCACCTGTCCACCAGCTTGGATTCTTTAAACAATAAAGCCAGACACGTTGGGCTGAGTAAGTCCCCTTTAAACATATTTCCCCCCCGCTGATGTCTTCTGATCACCTGTCAGAGGCGGTTGGAGAGTGTGCGTAAAGAGAACCTGTTTTACATAAGAAACCACGGAAGAAGTCAAAGTTAGGTGTCAACATAAAAGCTTTACAAATATTTATTGGGGTTTACGATAAATTCAATGTTGAGATGATGGATTAAAACTAGAAATGTTAAGTGAAACTTTGACATATTCCATTCATCTGGTCTACACCTATGGCTTAGTCTCTGTGGAGAGTCGTAGAATGTGTTCATGTATTAAGGTACTATTTTGAGGTTGTCGTTAATTAGCCTGTATTTTAAGCAATTATGTAGTCTAGATTATATTATTTTAAATGTAATGAGAACATTTTTGGCAATTGCCTTGGATTTTATTTTATAAAACCTACCGGAAACCACCGTGTGACTGTGAGCAGTAGTAAGACGGAGATCCCCTCACGGAAAACTGTGGTAACTGTGGTGTACAGCTGCAGAGATGCGCGACACAGAAAAACAAGGGAAATGAGGGAAATGGAGGGAGATGACAGGAGAGGACGGTAACCACTGAACACACACCATCTGAGAATGTTTCCACACACCGAGGAGCACCGTCGTCGTTGCGCACTTCGGACATAAAAACGCGGACAGGGCTCGGATCATACATTGATCCGAATACAGGGGACGGGAGGGGTCGATCATGGGGAACGAAGCGAGCCTGGAAGGAGGCGAAGGGCCTCTGTCGGGGCTGCCGGAGGGGCTGGCACCTGACGGGAAGGGAGGCTTCGTCCGGGTCCCCGAAGGGACTCCGGTCAACCTGGGCGACCTGAGCGAAGAGCAGAGGAGGCAGCTGGCCGCCGCGATGTCAAGGGCGCAGGGCAGGCAGCCTGGAGGCGCAGCACGAAGGCAGGGGGTTTTTACCAGCATTTTTCCGTGCTCTTAAATACACACTGCTACGAGAGAGAGGAACGAGTGGATGTGTTTTGGTTGTGTGAAGCATCATTTGGAAAGTGTCTTAAGGAAGCTCGTTTACGCCCATGTTGGAGCCTCCTAAGAAATAATTGTATTCTGAGAGCTCACCATAATGGTTTATTATCATCTGATGATATGCATGACAGAAAAAAAAGATTTCTAGCCTGATACAGCTCTAATATTAGCTGGGCAATAGATACACTGCCGTTTTGGACATTGTGTATCAGCTGTTTGTACAAGATGCACAAGCCTCGTTCAAACTGCTCGACATCCGATTGTTTTCTTAGATTGAGCGTGTTAAATTAGACTGAATTGGTTTTAGTGTCCACGGTGTTTCTCTCTGTGTGAGATCACAGCGTAAGGGACACACCTCCAATATTTGTGCGAAATTTTCGAAATGCCTGCTTTGTATAAAATCTGTCGTGCCCAGAGGTTTTTTTTCTTTTCTTTCTCATCTGAATGACGTGTGAAAACCCAACTAAACAAACCCTCCACCTTTGACGGATATATCCACTCCCTAATATTACCAACTACAGTTCTGATTCTCGCATACATTGGATTTGAATCGGATGTATGGAGACTGTGATGGAGAGAGCTGCCAATGAAAACAATGTGCTGCCAGATCCACGATACTTTAGATGTTGAATGATACTTACATGATATACAGTAATATGTACATATTCCTCAATATCAGACAAAATGACATGATGTACATCATTTTTCAATGGCTCCGATTTGGGGTAGACTTGTATTTATATCTGAGCTAGAGACTGGGGGAGGGGTGCATCAATATTAATATGACTATTAATAGAACAGCAGTGTTAATGTCACCACCCATAGTAGATATTCCTAATGCTGCTTTCTGATATTTCTTCATTTAAAAGTAGGATTTCATCTTGTATTGTTGAGGCCTTTTCCTTTTGAGTCTTGTCGCTGTCCTTGGTGCTGAAAAACAGCCCGCAGGGGATTGAAGCCCAGGCATTGCAACAGCAATACTTACAATGTGTGCTGGGCTCCCACAATGCAAAGGCTTCTATTACTCTGTACCCACTGTAAAAAAATAAATAAAATTCAAATGCTGTATTCATTACTGCATTAAACTTTATTGCCTGGTAATGTAATTTAACTCACACAATGGCAGAAGCACTAGGGACTTTCAAACTGCAGGCTAAAATAACACTAGGTCTGTATGTTGCATTCACATATCATACAATAACACAACATTAGCCCATTAGTGCATTGATGCATTTCTCTAAGGATGCCGTTGACTTTCACGCTCGTGCTGAGCAGTGTGTGTAGGTTGTATGCTGCCTCTCTGCCTGAGCTAACAAAGATGTCTCATCTTACCCCCGCGGAGGCGAGCATTTCCCTTTTTATCTCACTGATCTATACACTCCATGTCATTCAGCAGTATTCACTTTCCTGTCAGCATTACCCCAGGGCTGCTCGCTACACATTCTCTGCTCACTGATGTGTTGAAAGGGCCTGAGATGAACAAAGAGCTAGGTTGATGGACTTAGCTTAGCACAATCAAGCTACATTAGAGGGAGAGGGGTTAGCAAACATCCTGAACAATTATGTGTGAGATGGAAACAAAGCAAATGGAATGAAAAGACAACTGATACTCAAAGTGTGTAATATTTCAGACAGCATTAGTGTTTTGTTTATTATAAGGCTTATTATTCAGCAGAGACAGCTGATTAAGTTATAGTCTGCATGATTTTAATGTCAGATGATGGCCATCAAATACATGGAAATGCAAGGATAAGGTAGGGAAAAGGAGCTAGAGTTTATTTCAGAAACATCTGGTCTTAAACTCTCCTTAATAGTTGGCTCTGTTTTAATTGAGGCTCTGGGTCTGCTGTGTGGGTTTATGAGATGTTCTCACAGTGCTTAAGGAAAAAACCTGACACCCACAACATAAAAACCCACATTAGAAATAAAATCACTGATAACTAATCTGTGTTTTTCTTTTTTCCAGACCGTCAGAATCTGATACCCAGCGTTCCCAGCAGGTAGGGGCCTCCAGGGGCCCTACAGGTCTCAGTAAGAGTCGCACTGTAGACGCCTTCAACCAGGGTCCACCGGGAAAGCCCGCTCCGGGCCGCAGCCCCTCGTCCCTCAGCCTTTTCGAAAACAGATTCCGGCAGGAGCCAAAAGACCCAGAGAGCAAGTCCTCCGGCATGTTTGGCTCCAGCTTCCTGAGCGGGGCCAACCCCCTCAGTGCCATGACCTCCTCCGTCTCCTCCTCCATGTCCTCCATTGGCGACACCGTCAATATGCCTAAGTTTGGACTGTTTGGGGATGAGGCGGAGGGGGACGCAGCCGCAGCGCCTGAGTCTAAACAGGGAGGTAGGCCCCCTGGCAAGGGCCCTCAACAAGGGCCGGGGCAAAAGGGACCACAACAGGGAGGACCTCAGAAACAGGGTCAGGGTCCTCCTGGACAGGGGCCAAAGCCAGGTCAAGGACCACCTGGCCAGGGATCTAAACCTGGCCAAGGTCCACCTGGGCAGGGACCCCTAGGTCAGGGGCCACCAGGCCAGGGACTAAAGCAAGGTCAGGGACCACCAGGCCAGGGACCTAAACCTGGCCAAGGTCCACCTGGGCAGGGACCCCTTGGGCAGGGTCCCAAGCAAGGTCCAGGGCCTCAATCAAGCCAGGGTCCGCCTGGTCAAGGAACTAGGCAAGGCCAGGGACCACCCGGCCAGGGTCCTCCTGGCCAAGGACCCCCAGGACAAGGACAGAGACAAGGACAGGGACCACCAGGACAGGGGCCACAATCAGGCCAAGGTCCTCCTGGTCAAGGTCCTCCAGGGCAGGGACCAAGGCCAGGACAGGGACCACCAGGCCAAGGGCCCAAATCAGGCCAGGGTCCTCCTGGTCAAGGACCTCCTGGGCAGGCCCCAAGGCAAGTTCAGGGTCCGCCAGGCCAAGGGCCCCCTGGGCAACAAGCCCCAAAACCAGGTCAAGGACCACCAAGTCAAGGTGCCAAACAGGGGGCCCCTCCTCAGCAAGGACCTGGAAAGCAACGGCCCCCAGGTCCTGGGGCTCAACCTGGGGAGCCAGCTAAGAGCGGAGGGTCTCCTGGTCAGCAGGGGGCTGGAAAGTCTGGAGGGGGTCCCTGTCCTCTGTGTAAGACCACCCAGCTGAACATGGGCTCTAAGGACCCCCCAAACTACAACAACTGCACTGAGTGTAAGAACCAGGTCTGCAGCCTCTGCGGCTTCAGCCCCCCCGACTCAGCGGTAGGTGTCAGATTTCCAAATGATGATTATTCAATGATGAACAAAATTGCAGTATCTCACCATGTATACTGGGATTGATCTCATAATAGAGAAGACAGTCCATGTTATTAAGTCAGGGAGTGGGACATTTGTATCTGTGTGTGAAATATCAAAGTACCAAATCAAGTGTGCTATATAGCCATTACACTGCAAATACTTAATTCTTAAACATCTATTACTCTAATCTTCAGACTAAAATAAAGTGTTTGTTGCAAAAAGTGAATCTTGAAAGTTGAATCCACCTTGTCAAATTGAAAATCAAATGAATAAAATAATACGATTTCAAAGATTAAGATAAAAAATAAGAATTCTTACTATATTATTAAACCCCACATTAGCCTGTTAGCAGCATGTTGCTGTTCTCTGAGCCTGGCGGGGGGAGTGGATCTCATGAGAGTGGCACATTTGAGAAACAGAGGGACCATATGGACCCGGGGAATGTTGACCAAGGTGACTCATGTCATGGCCACAGGAAGAGACTGTGCCAGGCAGTGAGGACACTCCGTCACACAGGGACTGTAAGCACTGGTGGGCCATGACTACAGCACAACAGAATGCCCGGTTCCTTCTGCTTAAGCCTCTTCTGAGGATGTGTTATTATGCAGATCGATCTGCAGTTGGGGTCACTCATGGAGCAGATCAATTTCAGAAAGTAGATTTTCTTTAATTGTCAGTTAGAAAAAGACAGCTCTATGTATTTCTGTTTGCAGTTACAGTATCCTATACAGTTTACACTTCTGTTGGTTGAATTGACCTCATCTCTTTGTTTACACATTATGCAATAAGTATTACACCCAAAATTACACACATTGTTTTGAGTAAGTGATCCAATAGTCAAAATTGTTCCTTTTTAACACTGTGGTTTGCACACACTGAGATACTCTAAACATTGTGGTGTAGCCAGGCTTTTTTGGAACAGGCGTTCAGATATACTGTGTGGGCAGAACATAGACAATGAAATGCATTTGTTTAAGCTGGTCCAACATTTACAGAACCCATGCTGAATAATAAGAACAAACATCATTGATACATGAATAGCATTTGTCTTTCTGCTATCAGTCTGTTACAAATATTCCACTTGTTTACACACTTTTTCTTTTTGCTGAAATAAACGGATCATGTACAAATCCCAGGGTTTTTATGATTTAGTTATAAACAAACATTTATTATATAATTGTCTGGACTGATGAGTATTTATGTAACCGTTGGCAGATTTAAATTCTCTCATGTTGTAAATAGGCAATTTGGCTAGGGAAGAAAGGATTCAGCAACTTTTGTAACGCTAATTAGTGTCTTTATTTTACACAAAACAAAATGGTTATTTTAGGGGTTTAATTAGGTATGCCTGCCTGTGTATATACTGTTCTGTAATTAGTCATTACACATGCCGTTGATGTTTGTGCTCATAACAGTGTGCTAATGTGTTCTAGTCAAATCTAACCCATCTTTTGTTTCCTGCACAGGGTAAAGAGTGGTTATGTCTCAACTGCCAGATGCAGCGAGCGATGGGCGGTATGGACCCCCCCGGCATGACGAAGCCCAAACAAGGCTCGGCCCCGCCCTCGCCCCAGAGACAGGGGCCTGGCAAGCCTGGCAAGCTGCTGATAAGGCAGCAGAGTGCCTCCGACCAAGGGTTAACACCTCCGACCACACCCAGACAGAAATCCCCTACCTCTCCTGGGCCGCTTTCCCCGGGCTCCTCGTTGGGAGGGTCCCCAAAGATCGACCCCAAGACGGGCCGTCCCATTCAGACCAAGCCCAGTCCCCAGCAGTCTCCAGCTAAAGCCAAGCAGGAGTCCAGCTTCTTTGGGGGTTTTGGAGGTATCAGTCTGGGAGGCTTAACAGATACCAAACCTGCGGGTGCTTCGCAAGCTACCGAGTCTGTTACAGGGAAACTGTTTGGAGGGTTTGGCGGTTTGATGGATTCACCGAAGCCTCAAGCGCAGACTGCCCCAAAGCAGGAGGAGTCGGTGGCTGGGAAGTTGTTTGGAGGTTTTGGAGGGTTGACAGAATCAGCTAAACCTCCCGCAGCTGCTTCTCAGATGTTCAGTTTTGGTTCTTCACTCTTGAGTTCAGCCACCATTATCGTCTCTGGAGAGGAAGAGAAGAAGCCGGCAGTATCTCCGCCTGAGTCGCCACCAGACTCCGGACCAGGTTCCCCTATGGATTCTGAGCCTGGTTCACCACCTGACTCCCCCTTCTCTGCTCCTGGGTCGCCTCCTGATTCGGACTCTGCTCCTGACACTCCACCTGCTAAGTCCAAGAAACCCCTCAGAACCCTTTCTGTGGAGCAGGGGGAGAAGGGGCCAGCAGCTGAACCAGCACCTGCCCCTGAACCAGCACCTGCACCTGGCCCAACTACCAAGGAGAGCTGCCCTCTCTGTAAGACGGAGCTGAACGTCGGATCAGCAGACGCCCCGAACTACAGCTTCTGCACCGAGTGCAAGAAGACAGTTTGCAACCTTTGTGGATTTAATCCTACTCCCCATTTAGGAGAGGTAAGAACATCATTTTTCTTAAGCTTCCTGTGCACTCTGCACCTACCAGTAATTTATGCAATCTGTCGTGTATTAATAGAACGCAAACATCCTCTCGATGTTTCATTAAAATAGGTCACCGTAAAGATACCATCAGGAGGATGGGCTCTGTGTTTTCCCCACAAGCACATTGCAAAGTACTCTGAAAGGAGGATAGCATGTTATTATTTCAACAAAGTACATACATTTACACCAAATTACCGTTGCTCACATTTGACTTCAGTAAATTTGATCAGTTACGCTGCATTTTAACAGTCTCTACTACCAAGCTTTCTCTAGGGGAGAGGTCATCCTGAAGGATAAATGAAATAGTTTTGAGTGGACGTCTCATCATCAAAGAGCACTTTCAACAATTGACTCTTAAACTGAGTGTGTGTGTTTCTGTTTCAATATCTGCTTTGTGTGTATTCTTATTTGACTGAATAGAAACACTTTCTTCCCATTGACTATGCTTTTATTGTGAAATTTGTTATAAGCTTTTTGAAGTGTGTAATGCTTGTATGTTTGCTTGCTAGTGTTTGTGTATGAGTGTGTTCTTTGTCTTTGTTTGTCTAATGATGACGTGGAAACCTAACACTTTAAGCCTTCTTATCTCCCGAGGTGTGGGGACTGGTTTTCCTGTGTTTCTGTGGTGTTTTGTCTCATTTGGAAGTAACACGGTACTGTGAGATTCACTGAGCAGATGGCACTCTATGGTGTAGGATCAGTATATTATGTGAATAGAGGCCAAAGAGTGCTTTCGTATGAGTGGTTTTTCAGCATGCAGGCAAAACAGATTTACATATGCTAGTCTAAATATTCCATATGAAGTACCTTAGTTATTGTCTGTTTTGTAATCTGATTATCTTTTCTGACATGATCATGTGATTTAGGGTACAGCTTTATCCTGTATTGAGATATGAAATCACAACTTTGTCAGGTGGTGGTTTCAATGTGGTAATCTGCTGTGTAGTCCGGGGCTCTATTAAGAACCATCTGTAACACAGAATATAACTATAGCAAAGCTTAAGACATGTTTCTTTTTAAGTGTTATTGAGTAAGCATTAAAGGTGCTGGTCAGCTAATTATTTAGTTTGAATTCATTCTCTTGTTATTAGAGGCTAGCATTACCCCCTCTTTTCCTGATGTTGTGCTAAGCTAACATATCATGTAACTCAATTTCTGAAAATGTCTCACTATTTCTATGCCTGTTTGACAAAGACAATCTTGAATATCATTCCTGTGTATGTAAGTGTGACCTTCCATGCCACTTTTCTAATGTATAATCACCAAAATGTAATATAGAAAGATAGAAGTTCTCCCCTGACTCATTGCTAAACTAGCACTCCAAAACAAGATGGCCGCGATAAAGACTACAATTCTTTACGGTCTGTTTCTTTTTCTGTAACCTTAATTTGCACACGCTTGCTGGTTTAATGAGCAGCTGAACCCCATAATCACTTAATTGAGGCCAAGCATGGGGAAATATGTAATTATGCTGAAAGAGATGGGCATCCAAGCCACTGATGCTCTAATCGGATATAGATCCTTTTAACACCATGCTGTTTCAAAGCCAGAACTGCCAGCCAGTAAAGAATGATGTTGTTACAAATTGATACAGTACAAGAAGGATAAATCATATTTGACTCATCTAGGACTGAATACAGTAAGAATATAATGAGTATAAAACAGTGTTACCTTGTAAAGACTGGCTGTAGGAGACACACACAACACCTTGGTTGAGTCATCGCACACCCCCCCCTACATACTGTGCCTCGCTTCTTTGTCATTGGCTGTCATAATGCCGGCTGTCAGTAGGGGTTCACTTGCTGACGCATGTGAGTGTGTGTACATGAGTGTGTGTCGGAACTGAGCAGTATGTTTTATGAGCAAGACTGTTGAGATTGTGGAGTCTGGGCAGGGCTGCTGTGAGCCTCCACACTGTAGGTGACTACAGTATGTGAGACTTTGGGATCCATGTCCTTCCATGGGTAGGGTTAGGGTTCGCGTATATCGTATGTGTCAACATGCGTGCGTGTGTGGGCGTAATCTCTGATGCTTAGAAGGATTTAAAGTACAGCAGGAAGCCAGTCATTTCTATCAAGGCTTGATCCTTGACTCAAGTGTCTGTGAGTAGTCCTCATCAATACGAGTCGTGAAAATAGGCTCCTTAGAAAAAAAGCAGTCAACTTCTTTCACTTTATTTTCATCTTTCTTTTGTTGAGTTTTCTGTAACCTTTTTTTTAATAATCTCTTTATAATTTCCTTCTGTTTTATGTATTTAATCTTTTTAAGGCCTAGAGGAGACACTCTGAATACCAGCAGTGTTGTTTGTGCTTATTCTCCTCTTAGAGAGTGTGTTTCTGTCACACTCTCCCTTAGTGTTGCTATCCCTTTGCCTTTTTCACAGTCGTTCCTCTTGATGTAGGGAAAGTCTGTCCAGCACTGCTCAGCGATGTCATGTTGCCCTTATCAGTAATGAGTGTGCTCGTTGGAGAAGTCTTACGTACAATGGGAGAGGCACCACTTTGCTATCAAGCACAAATGAAAGAAACTACGCTAACAGTGTGGGTTGCAAGCTAGATACATCCTGTACCACCTTACACCAAATAATATCCCATCTTTCAGACCAAACTCTCTGGAATATGGAGAGTTACTGCTGTGTTTGCATGATTTCTTGTTGCCTGCAGCTTATGGTCCAATCATAGGTACAGTGACTTAGTTAAGAGTTTCGTTTTTCAGTCTGACATGTGCACAATTTTTTTACATAATTTTAAATTATGATTCATTTTGAGTTTACAGTCATGTTTTACTCACCAACAAATAATGCTTTGCTGTAATACATTATATATCAAATGGTCCCCTTGGCCTTAATTATTTAACACTGTATGGCTGAAGAAAATGTCCTGGTTTGCTAATTTGCTGTCTTGGCAAGAATTAAATGTGATAATTAAAACCTTTTTTATGTCTGTAAGCTAAATATGAAGAAACAGCCAGCAGCCGGTTAGCGTAGCTTAGCTTAACATTTTTATTAAGATTTATTGTTAATTCATTTATTTATTTGATGGTCTTTATGTTTGATTGTATTTATTCATTTTGTCTTATGTCTTTTCTTTTCTTTTTAACGTAGAGGGTTATCATTATTTATTTTTTATTATCATACCTGTTACCTCCTTGTGTCCCTTTAATTATGATATAAGGTTATTTATGCTGCATGTGTTCAAAAAGGTTTTACCATTTGACCTGAAGAGAATTTATTGCGCTTTAAGCTGCACCTGGGGTATGAAAAGTGCTATATAAATAAAGCTTTATATTCGTAATAATAATACATAGATAAAGGAATAGGTCAAAGTAGGTAAGAATGGAGAAACCAGCCAGATTGCGCTAGAATTTGAATGTACACAGCCGAAAAAAATCTGCCCCTTCTTTCAGACTTCCTTACAGAGCCCCTCCTCCAACACACACGAATGCGCACATGACCAATGAGGGCACGAGATAAGTTTGTGCACAGATG